TCCCAGTGCCATTTGAATGTTAGAGAATCATTTTTTGGGGATTGGCTTATTTCACTTAACATGACAGTCTCTAGTTTCTTCCATTTACCTGCAAATGCCATAATTTCACTCCTACTTATGGCTAAGTAATACTCCATTATGTATATATACCACATTTTCTTTATTTTGAAGGGGACCTAGGTTGGTTCCACAACAGCTATTGTGAATTCAGCTTCTATAAACATTGATGTGGCCATGTCACTATAGTATCCTGATTTTAAGTCCTTTGAGTATATACTGAGGAGTGGGATAACTGGATTAAATGGTGGTTCCATTTCAAGTTTTCTGAGGAATCTCCATACTGCTTTCCAGAGTGGTTGCATCAATTTGCACTCCCACCAGCAATGTATGAGTGTACATTTATCCCCACATCCTTGTCAACATTTATTGTTGCTTATATTCTTGATAATTGCCACTTTGACTGGAGTAAGATGAAATCTCAGTGTAGTTTTAATTTGCATTTATCTAATTGCTAGAGATGTTTAACATTTTTTCATATATTTGTTAACTGATTGTATTTCTTCTTTTAAGTATCTGTTCAGTTTCTTAGCCTATTTATTGATTAGGTTATTTGTTTTTTTGGTGTTTTTTTTTTAGTTCTTTATATATCTTGGAAATTAGTGCTCTATCTGAGATGCAGGTGGCAAACATTTCTCACATTCTATAGACTTTGTCTTCACATTGTTGTTTCCTTTGCTGTGAAAAGCTTTTTAGTTTGATTACATCTCATTTATTAATTCTTGATTTTACTTCATAAGCTTTACAAGTCTTGTTAAGGATGTCAGGTCCTAAGCTGACATGATGTAGATTTGGGTCTATTTTTATTCTGTTAGGTGCAGGGTCTCTGTTCTAATGCTTAAGTCCTTTATCCACTTTGAGTTGAGTTTTGTGCATGGTAAGAGATAGGGGTATGACTTTATTTTGCTACATATGAATTTCCAGTTTTCCCAGTGCCATTTGTTGAAGTGGCTATCTTTTCTCCAATGTATGTTTTTGGTTCCTTTGTCTAGTATGAGATGAATGTGGGTTTGTCTCTGTGTCTTCTATTCTGTATGGTTGGACTATGTGTCTATTTTATTGCCAATACCATGCTGTTTTTTGTTACTATACCTCTGAGATGAATTTAAAGTCTGGTATTGTGATGTGTCCTTCACTTTTCTTCACTTTTCCTGCTATGGATTGCTTTGGTTATTCTGGGTCTCTTATTTTTCCAAATGAATTTCATGACTGCTTTTTATATTTCTATGAAGAATATAATTGGGATTTAAATAGAAATTGTATTAAATCTATATAGTGCTTTTGGTAGTATGGCTATTTTGACAATGTTAATTTTGCCTATCCAAGAGCATGGGAGATCTTTCCATCTTCAAAGATCTTCTTCAATATTTTTCGTTAGAATTTTATAATTTTCATTGTAGAGATCTTTCACTTCTTTTGTTAGATTTATTCCAAAATATATTTTTGAGGTTATTGTGAATGAGGTAGTTTTTCTATTTTTTCTTTGGTAGATTCATCACTGATGTATAGAAATGCTGTTGATTTATGGGTGTTCATTTGTATCCTGCTACTTTGCTCAATTCATTTATGAGTTCTAGTAGTTTTTTGGTGAAAATTTTTGGGTTTTCTAAATATAGAATCATGTCATTGGCAAATAGGGATAGTTTGAGTTCTTCTTTTCCTATTTGTATCCATTTAATTTCTTTCTTCTGTCTAATTGCTCTGGCTAGACAATGTTGAATAAAAGCAATGAACCAGGGAATCTTCTTCTGTTCTCTCTTTGTCCATCATTTGAAATTATAAACTCTTTTGCATATTTACTGTTTTTATTGTAAGTAATAACTGAACACATGACTTCTGTTTATTGCAACAAAATTGTAGATGTCTTATTAGGAGCTATTTGTTTTAAGGCTATATATTGTTTGCATTGGATACTGTTATTATTTGTTTCCTTCTTAAAGGTGAGATAGTGAAATCCTTCAGTTACACAGTAGGTCTGCTGTTTAGAAAGTGGACTGCTTCAAATCCACACTGCTAGGTGGATAGACAAACAACATGAAAAAGCAAGGGACCAACTTGCCCTAAACAAATCAAGGTGCTCCAATAAAAGAATGCATTGACACCACAGTGAAAGAAATGTCAGAGAAAGAGTTTAGAATGTACATGGTTAAACTGACCTGCAAGGTAAAGCATAATGTAAGGAGTAAAATTAGAGACAAAATTCAGGAGGTGAAAGATCATTTTAATAAAGATATAGAAATTCTGAAAAGTAATCAAACAGAAATCCTCAAAATAAAGGAATCAACAAACCAAATTTAAAATTCAGACCAACAGACTAGGACACTTGGAAGACAGAGTTTCAGGAAATGAAGACAAAATATATAATCTTGAAAATAAAGTTGACCATGAAGAGATGATATTAAGAGACCATGAACAGAACTTCCAAGAAATGTGGGATAACATGAAAAGATCAAATTTAAGTTTTTTATTGGGATAGATGAAGGCATACAGTTATAAACCAAAGAAATGTACAATCTTTTCAATGAAATAATGTCAGAAAATTTCCCAAACCTAAAGAATAAAGTGTAAAATCAGATATAGGAGGCTTACAGGACCCTAAATGTACAAAATTACAACAAACACGCACCAAGGCACATTATTATGAAAGTGCCTAACATACAGAATAAGAATAGACTTTTAAGGGTTGCAAGAGAAAAATGTCAGATTACGTAGGGGAAAACCAATACAGATCTCAGCTGATTTCTCAACCTAGACCCTTGTTATATAGAATACCATATACCAAGCTCTGAAAGCAAATGGATGCCAGCCAGAAATACTATATCCCAGAATTAAGCTTCAAATTTGAAGATGAAATAAAAATCTTTCATGATAAACAAAAGTTTTAAAAATTCACAATTAGAAAGCCTGCACTACAGAATGTTGTTATCAAAATATTCCATGAAGATGAAATGATGAAAAAGAGTTAAAACCAGCAAAGGGAAGAACTAAACTAAAAAAATAGTCAATCAAAGAGAAACTAATTCAAATTAAAAACCAGAATAAACCAAAATGACTGAGAATACAAATTATATCTCAATAATAATCTTGAACATAATTATTTAAATTCATCAATCAAAAGACATAGAATGGCAGATTGGATTTTTAAAAAAGACCCAACAACATACTGCCGCAGTCCGGCTGCAGCAAAATAACCGGGGGGTGATGAACAATTTGTGTAGATTGATACAGCAGGAGTGGGAGCCGTTTATTCTAGGACAAGAGGGGTATTTATACATTCCACATAGTTAATTAACATAAACTAGATACAGCAGTCAACCAAAAAGAAATCTCCACACTTATTGGCTTGCTGGAGTTACTTCACAAACCACTCCCTCTAACATTTGCCAGGCGCCATCCTGACTTGTTTACAGACTCTAACAATATAATGTCTCCAAGAGACTCATCTCATAGGCAAAGACATCCACAGATTCAAGGTAAAAGGATGGGGGGGGGGAAACATATCACTCACATGGATTGTGTAAAAAAACAGAGTTTTATCCTTATATTAGATAAAGGGGCCTTCAAGCCAAAGTTAATCAGAAGTGACAAAGAAGGATATTTCATACTGCTTAAAGGAGTTATACATCAACAAGACATAACAATTGTAAATATTTATGATCCAAACAATGGAGCATTATGTATATCAAAAAACCCCTTCTCAATTTCAAGAATAAAATAAACTACAACACAATAAATAATACTGGTGGTTTAAATACACCTCTCACCACTGGATAAATCCTCCAAACAAAAACTAAGCAAAGAAACTATAGTAATTTAGACTTAACAGTCAGTAATTTTGACTTAACAGATACATGTAGATTATTCATCCGTCAATGATGGGATACACTTTCCTTCTCTACTGAGAAGAAAGCACACAGATCCTTCTTTAAAATAGACCACAAAGTAACTCTTAGCTAATATCCTTGTCTTGTTTCCCATTTCTAGGGGAAATGCTTTTAATTTTTCTCCATTTAGAATGACATTGGCCTGGGGCTTAGCATAAATAGCGGGTTGTTTCTGTTCTCTAGGCCTCATACTGTACTTTCCAATATCACCTAGAACGGAAAGAAGCAAGATAACTTCATTAAAAGAAAAATAATTCCTCTACCACAAGTCCTATAGTGTTGATTAAAATCCATTTGTGATCCGATCCATCGTGTTCTCTTTTGGTATCTTTCATGGTCAATTTAATCTGCTTGTCTCTTAACAGGATTTAATGCAAATTATATAATAAAGAAAAATATTGATGTAACTATCCACTGCCATCTGCTTCCGTTCTCTATGCCATGCCGTATTGATTGCAGCAGACCAGGTCAAACCTGAGTGTTTCCTGCTCTCAAGGATGGCCTCTCAAGGCCTCATGCTATGCCTCCTTGCTCCCAGGGGGGAACGTCTAAGTTCTTTGTTGACAGCCCAAGGCAGAACAGTAAAAACAGGAAGTAAAATAATATCTCCATTTGACGTGCTTGTAAATCAATATTCCTATGGGACTGAGTTGTTGGTGTTGGGCACTCATAAAAAAATATTTTTATTGATCAGAAAACTAAACCAGTTGACTTGTCAAAGATGTTTTCATCTAGTAAAACTTTAAAAATATGGGAATTGTTAAAAAATTTTTTGAAATTGTTTGCAGATATTTCTAATTTAGGATTCAATCTGATTTTCACGAATGATATTGAGGTTCATAATTTCATCTTTTAAAATGTATAATAAAATTCAACAGACATTGGAATTAAGAGAGGATGACAATCAGAAATCAATTTTAAAATTTTTTTCCTATAGGAATATCTTATTTCAAAACATAATTCGTGACTTTAATTTTGAAAATGTATAAGTCCTACATTTTGGAAACTTGACTATGGTGACCTACTTGATTAGTTCTAACAATGAATTGCCTCTGACAGGTCTTCAGGTGACTTTGTATGAAGGCACATGGAAATTCAGCATCCTGGTAGTTGGAAACAACTGGTAAGGGTTGTTTTATTCACTTTCCTTTCCCTTTATGATATTCCTAACTGATGAACTGATTTTGATGCTGATCTGTTCATGAGCCAAACCCAAGCTCTTGGCATCAGGATCATTGTCACAAAAAGTACAGTTTCATTCAATAACACGTCTTGATTGAGCAGAGCACTTGTGCCCTGGTGCAGGTTCTCTGTTCAATGTTAGAAATACGTTGATGAATTGATGATGGAGACATAGAGCCTGCTCACAAAAACCTTGCAGCCCAGCTAGCAGACTGGACGTGCACACTCCAGAGGCTTGCAAGTGATGTGTGATGGAAGGGAGCCATCCCGTGGATGGTGTATTAGGGTTTCTCAAGAGAAACAGAAACAGAATCAATAAGGCATCTCTCTCTCTCTCTCTCAGAGGGACTTATTTTAGAGTATTGGTTCCTGCAGTTGTGGTGGCTGACATGTCTCAAGTCTTCAGGGCAGGCTTGCAGGCAGGAGAGCTAGGGAAGGATGGATTTTAAAATCTCAAATCTGAGGTAGGTCAGTGCAGGGCTAGAATTCCTTCTTCCTCAGAGGATCTGAGTGTTTCCTTGTAAGGTCTTCAGCCAGTTGGATGAGGCCACCCATCTGCTTTACTCAAAATCTACTGATTTGAGTGTTGAGATTTCATTTTTATTTTTAGAAATTTAAAAAGTGATTGTTCTTTTTAGTTGTACATGACAGTAGAATGTACTTTGACATATTATACATAGGTGGAGTGCAACTTCCCAATGCGTGTGGAGATTCAATCTAAACTTTGCTTCACAGAAACATCCAAACTGGAGCTTGGCCGCACACTGCCCTGTGTCTGGGCACTATTGCTAGACTACGTTGACCCGATCAACTGTCACAGTGGGGGAGTTATTTCATGAAATACATCGTTTGGATCTGGAGTGGTTCTCAAAGTGAGGGCTTTTGGAGGTGAGGCTTTTGGGAAGTGACTGGATCCTGAGAGCCCTGACCTCATCAGTGGACTAGTTCATGGATAGATTCAAAATTCTATGGCATTGTTGGGAGGTGGTGGAAACTGCAGGAGGGGGACCTCACTGGAGGAAGTAGGCAATTGGGGTTGTGCCCAGAAGGTCATATCTCGTCCCCTGGCCTCTTCCTCCCTCTCTCTACTTCTGCTTCCTTCACAGGAGGAGAGCAGCTTGCCTCTGGCATGCCCTTCGGCCGTGATCTTCTGCCTCCCCTCAGGCTCAGAGCAATGGAGCCGGCCAATGGTGGACGGAAGTGTCTGATACCATGAGCCGATTTAAACCTTTCTTCCTCTAAGTTGTTTTCTCAGGTATTTTGCCCCAGTGTGCAAAGCTGACATGCTGAGCTAGTTAGGAGACTTACCAACAGCCAAAGAAACCTGAGAAATTAGGTTCCCTGCTGTTCCCTAGGAGTCTGACCTGACAGTCCATAAGCAGTTAGGAAGCCGGGAGGTGGAAACACCCTTTCCCCAGCTACACACCCATGAATATTTACCACCTTGAGTCTCCGGAGGGACAGTGCTCCCACCAGCTGATTTGATTTGTTTAGACCTGGCCTTCCAGTCCCCTCACACTACTGTTTCTTTCTCTGCATATTTACTGATTACTTTTTCATTGTCTTTTTACAGATCCATGATTTAAAATTGATTCTTTCCATTTTACGGGGGGCGGGGGTGGGTACCAAGGATTGAACTCAGGGGCACTCAACCTCTGAGCCACATCCCCAGCCCTATTTTGTATTTTATTTAGAGCCAGGGTCTCCCTGAGTTGCTTAGCACCTCATTTTTGCTGAGGCTGGCTTTGAACTCAAGATCCTCCGGCCTCAGCCTCCTGAGCTGCTGGGATTATAGTGTGTGCCTCCGGCCTCAGCCTCCTGAGCTGCTGGGATTATAGTGTGTGCCACCACACCTGGTTCTCTCCATTTCTAAAACATGAGCATTTTACACATCAATAAGTTTTTAACTTTTAATTATATATTATCTTGTATATGTGACTGATTCCAATGACACAGACTCACGAGTCAGGATATAGTGACAGTAAGTATCCCTTTCAGTTGTGATGTCAAGCTGCTCTAAGTCCTGCCTCAGAGGCAGTGGCTATTATCAGATTGTTGATTTCATTTTAGGGGTAATTATGATCAGAACAATGGATTATAAATACTTTAAAAATATAGGCCTATAGTGATACCTTCCTTCTTTCAGTTGTCAAAATATGGGGGAAATTGTATCACTTGAATTTAAAGCTGAGTTATTTTTTATGGCTACGTAACATTCCATTGTGCAAATGTACCATAACTTTCTTAGTCAGTCCTTCGATAAGTTATTTCTAGTCTTATGCTAATATGACATAAATATTTTTGTATACATACTTTATTCCCCTTATATAAGATAAATTCCTAAAAGTGTAGTTGCTAGATTAATGGGCACTCCTGTTTGAAATTTTGATATATTAGCAAATTGCCATAGAGACATTGAACAATTGTGTCATAGAACATACTTACAGCTAATTATGCCCAGCTCCATCTTATAGATGCACAAACATGATGTCACCTGAGGTTGTTTTCAAAAAGGCAGATACACTTTGGTGGACCATTCTTTTCTTTTCCCTGATGCCCCTGGTGACCATTCACACGTTTTTGCAAGTCAGCTGCTTGGATGCAGAGGAAAGGGGACAAAGCGAAATGAAAATGTGAAAGGCAGTTTACAAGCATTATTTTAAAAAAAGAAGAGGAGGAGAAATCAAAGCACTATCTTACCAATGGAGACATTGACCCCAGAGAGCCACATTGTTATTATTTGTATCTGCTTCAAGTACAAAAATGTAGGTCACTTCTTTGTGACTTGTCCAAGTTCATATAGCTCTTAGGTGCCAGGACTAGAACTTGTACTCTCCCGAAGGATTTTTGTGACTCTATAGGTCATATATTTGTCACCAATCCAAGTGAGTTAATTCACATGCATCATTTAGGACACTGCCTGGTCCGTGTAGATACTCAGTGAAGTGAGTTACTGTTGTCTTGTTCATCGGGAGATGGGTGTGGAATGAGTGGGGTCAGAGGGACTGAGGGGACCAGGAGGAAGCCGAGCCTTGGGGGCTGAAGCACCAGAGAGGGCTTGGATGCCCTCCCCAGTCCTACCAGCTGTGGAATTCAAACAGCTCCAGCTCAGTAGCAGTGTTGAGCCACGGAGGCGGATGAGCATTATTGTTAATTGGGCAGGAGCTAATGAGAGCTGTATTTCTTTGAATTTGCCCATCGAATGAGAACAAACATTAATGACCACTGGGCTGGAAAGGCCAGATACAATTTACCAAATGAGAGGGCATCTTCCCCCATCAGTTATAGAACAGTGTGCAGAGGGCCAGGACATGCTTCCTGCAGCGGAGTCCATCACCGGCTGTGGTGTTAAATACAGAGCGAAGGCCCCATCAACTGGCATCCGAGTGTGAAACAATTAAACGCGGTGCTGCCCCTGCAGCAGCGCTCCAGCAGCCACCCTGTTGGAGTTTTCAAGGCTCAGCAACCCTTCCCACGACAGAGGAATAGGAATGTGCTGATTTTCTTTATGGACTCAATGAAGAAGTCCTCGGTGGGGAGCTCATCTCTCCTAATTGAAGCAAGATGCAGAAGGCACAGCCTCCCCTGGGTCCCCACCGAGGGCAGAGCTAAGCTGTGCCCTGGTGGTGCCACCTAGCAGCTTCCTGTGCCAAAATGGATTCTAAGGTCTACTGATAGCTGAAATGAGAGACATCAGACACATCTGGTGGGAAACCCGAAGTCCGGGGAACTGTGGTGGTTTGATTTCTTCTCCTTTTCTTTGTTTTTAATAATGCTTGTAAACTGCCTTTCACATTTTACTTCTGTTTCACCAGATTCCTCGTTCTCCTCTTCCATTTTTTGTTTGTTTGTTTGTTTTTTACCCAGATAGTGCCCCTGGGCCTCAGGGAGGGTGGGGATGATTCTGAATAGGTTTTGGAGATGGTGCCGTTAGCTGGGTTTATGTCAAGAGCTTATGTCCCTCCATTTGATGCCGATGATTTAAGGGATTGAGACCATTGACGTCAGCCCAGGAAACGCGTGAGCATGGAGGAAGAATGCAGGTGGGATATTGTGGAGTTTCTCTCTCTCTTCTTTCCCATCACCTGCAAGAGCTTAGAGAGAGTCCCACCATGTCTCCAGGGCACCCCCAGACCTATTTGACCCTGGACAAGTCTGCTTGGACCATCTGCTCCTGGTCCAGGGCCCACTGTTTCTGGCTGCAGTGAGCTCCTGCACTGCTCTGCAGCCCTCAGGGCTATTTACTTCTTAGGTCCTAAGGGTGCCAAGCAGCCACCTGGTTCTGAAAAGGGTGGATCAGAAAAGGGAAAGTTACATGTCACCCATGCTCCCAAACCATCTGGCCTGCGTAGCTGTTGCAGTGTTGCCCAGTGGTTAAGAGTTGACCGCCTCTGCACCTCTTACTGGGTGTCTAGGGGGGAATTGCTTATCTTCTCTGTAGGTTATCTATATCTCTAAAATATGGATAACTGTAATACCTACTTCATGAGACTGTTGTGAAAATAAATATCATGTACATAAAGCAATTAAAACAGTGCCTTCCATATGAGAGATCCAGTCCCTGAGCAGAAACACTCCACACTTTAGGACCTCTTCCCAGAACTCGAATCTAGTGAGGTTGGGATGTAGTGGGGTTGGGTAGGATGTGAGAGAACAGCTACCATGTGATCCCAACGTCACCTTCATCCTCCCTTTGTACAAGGAATCTGATAAGCTGCCAACCATATCAGTGGATGGACCTGGGCACCCACAAGGCCACAGTTCTTAACATGCAGGGCCTGGTTAGGCCTCTGAACCACCCGGCTCATGCCGGTCATCCTCTGTAGGCCCCTGGCTGACACCCACTCTTAGGGCTTTCTTGCCCTTCTAAAGCCCACCTTGCTGTCTGAGGCCCGGTGCATCACATTTGAATTTAATTCCCAAGCCCATGCCAGGTTCATTGAAATGAGAAGACATGCATTTATGAATATTCCCAACCCTCCCATCAGTTTTCTGCAGGACTCTGTCAGGCTGAACCCAGGGTTCATCAGCTCTGCCTCAAGAGTTCATGGGGTTTAGCATGTTGCTTAGTCCTGCCCTGGGAGATGGAGAGCTGCTCCTGGCTTATTTGCCCTTCTTGCTTTGGAAGGGGCATCAAGGGTGTCCCTTACAACGTTTTAATATTTTATTAAAGCAATTGAGGTTCTTATTCCCTTCCTTTTCATCTTCAACTTAGATACCTTCTTCATATTTCCCTTTGACTTATGTTAGCTTTTCCCAGAATTTTTTTTTTTTTTAATCATGAGATGCCCTCTCCTCTTATATCACAATATTGGGCATGAATTTTGAATTATTTGTACTTTAATAATAATTGAATGAGACTGACAAATAAAATGGCCAATAACTTAAACATTAACATTTAATTTTTTAAAAAAGAAGTTCATTGATAAGCTAACCTTATTTTTAACAGAGCACAATCTCTAAAGAGATCTTGGAAAAATGTCTGGGTCTGTTTGTCTGTGGGTTTCTCTCTCTCTCTCTCTCTCTCACACACACACAAACACACACATTGATAGTAAGTGATCTGTGTTCTTTTTCTTAATGGCTTAACTGGGGTTTTAGTGTAGACATGACAAAATGGGGTGTGGTCCTGTGAGTTTGTGGACAGGTTGCACTCATCAGCGATATGCACCTGTGAAGTCCACCCGTCACTCTTAGCCCCAGTTTCCTTGTCTTTAAAATGGAGAAATTTGACTTCTTATTCTAGAAAGTCATTTCCAGGCCTTATAGTCCACAACTATATGGATTCAGAAGACAAGGGCTCCAATTTATAGTGGAGATTAATCCACAAACAAAAGCAAGTGGCTTATTTGCATACAAATAGAATGCTAATCAGGAGATATGGGTAA